CCCCAAAACCCCAAAACCCCACTAGTAATTGTTTCAAAACATTAAAGAGACTGTGAAATTAAAAATTAATATATCATTGTGCGATGGCAGATTAGCAAAAATAGCATTCATAACTTAACTCAACGCCACAGAAAAACGAGGAATTCAAAAAACCTCCAGTACCTCCGAAGAAAAAACTATTTGTTTGCTGCGCATCCTAGTAAAATAAGACAAAGCAACTATCGTAAAATAATATTTTAACTAAGAGTATAGATAAAATAAGCTGTAGGATAAGGATAAACCCATAGCTGTTGAGACCCCTTAGTAAAAATCAATATTTGAGGCTATTAACACTGACACTGATAAGCAAAGACGCCCTGAACCCAGAAAACTCTCTCATATTAAATCTAATTCACTAATGATGTCAAATGCTCAATAGGAATCGCAGGCATCAATCAGTAATAATTTAGAGATTGATCCTAAATATAATTCTCTAACTAAGAGTGAAAAAGTAAAGGATGATAAGTAAAATGGGAGAATATCTATAAGAAGTAATAACATCAAATTCTAGAATGAGGATGCAAGGAAAATAAAAAATTCTCCATCAGATGACGGCTTTTTATAAGTTGACGAGATTGCATGTGACTTGGATGAAGATGTAGATAACGAGCATTACTCAGATCGCAATATAAATAATAGTCAATTCGTAAACAAGCTTAGAGATTTTTCATCCTTTAATCCCTCGGGAAATAAAGGAAAGGAGAAGTTCAACTACACATCCAGTACGCTAATGGCATAAAACAATGCAGACATAAAAAGAAAAGCCAAAAGAGCTTCCCTAAACGGAACAGATTAAAATATAGTTGGAAATCAAAATGCTCAATTACTATTGATAGGAAAAGATTAAGCTATCCATGGCTATAACTCTACTAGGAATAATTAAACTTCAAAATTTAATAATTAGGATTTTTAATTCTCCCACGGAAATAGTCCAGAATAGCAGCATCCTGAAATCTTTGAATAAAATATGATTAGTCCAGAGGCATAAGTAATTGATGACAAAAACATATATCTAAAAGTGAACGAGAAATCTCACAGAAAGACATTTTCAGTTTAATCGAATTAAGGAGCTAAAAAGCTTTAATTATCACCTCATTAGCTAATCAAAGATTCTACTGCAATGTCCAGTGCACCTAAATATTAAACAAATTAACTACAGATTAACTTGATTAATAAATTGGAATAGATATACGTATCCTAAGCCTCTCATCGATCTATATCTTCATCCCAAACAAATCAAGCCAATAAATAGCCCTTTTCTAATACGCCCTCTTAGCAGCTGAATTAGAGTATTTTAGCAAGTAAATAACTTGAAGAATCTAAATTTTTGTCAGTAAAAGATGATAAAATCAAAGATGTAAACAATGGAAGCTAGAGGAATAATAGCCCACCTGTGTAAAGGATTCAAGCGGATTCTCAAGATTCTTAAAGTAATTTTTATTCTGCAAATAGATCTACTCATTCTGAGAAAGCTGGATAATCTACAGCTACTGCAAGCCATCTTGTAAGATTGATTCCCTATCTCTGAATATATTTTTAGCAGCAAAATTAAAAAGTTTCGAGTCAAGAAGGAATTAGTCCTTTATTTTCAAAAAGCTAGAAAATAATGACCAACACAATGCCAACTCAAAGTACACGTATGACTGTGGGTACAGATCCAGTAATATTCTCCTCTTTTTAATGATATGTCATTAGTCCATATAAATTCAATTTTTCATGACTCTATTGCAAGAAAAAGAGGAAGCAATGAAGCAGTAGAAATAAAAGTTGAAGTAACTTAGACATAAAGTCAAATAATCTACTTATAAATACACCAAAGTTAATATGAGACTAAAACATATTTGCTAGGATAATATGGATATCATGAATTTCATGAACGTAATGATGACATCTAAATTGCTTTAAGCAAATAATTTCAAAGAATGAAATCTTATGAATCAGACATGAGAATATCAATATATTTACTAATCAGTCCTCGACAGTCATCTTATAGATACAATTTTCAACCTATTTAAAATCCCTTAGATATCATTTATTAAGTGTTTGATTAAATATTCAATTAATGAGTTATCAAGAAATCACTGCTATTTTCTTTCAATGGGGTTTTGGGGTTTTGGGGTTTTGGGGTTTTGGGG